CATGATTTATAGTGGTTTCTATGTGTATACACTGTTTTTATTTATTAAAAATGGTTCTCTACTCTGCAGTTTATAGTCTTCTAGAAAGAAGGCTCTGGGAAATTTTGTATTGAAATAAAAAATAAAATTAAATAAAATAAAAATTGCCTAAAACTTAACGTAATATACGAAGCTACAATTAGATCCAATGGAAGTCCAAACCTCTCAAAACATACAATACAACTGGAAAATACAAACCAAAGTACACCAAGAATAACGTGGAAATAATAAAAAGAAACACCAGCTTACAAAAGTACCCCCCCCAAAAATGCAACCTTAGCCGAGAGGAGTTAACTGCTAAATTTCTAAATGCTGAGACGAAAACAAATTCCTTCTACGTTACCTACAACCACATCATGACAAAAAATACCTGAATAGAATCTCATGTAAATATAATAAACTTTTTCAAATACAAAATCATCGAAGAATGAAAAGCAAGCGAAATAAAACTATGCAATAAAGAAATGAAAAATAAATGAATAAATAAAATAAACAATCCTGGGGAGATGAACATAAATCTTATTTTTTCTTTTCTTACTTTCCTTAATCCTCCAGTGACCTATATACAGTGCTTGTTAAAGAATTAGTGGTCGGTAAATCGCATTGACCCTACAGTTGCCATGCAGTGATAAATTCTATGTCCACTCTCTCACCCTTCCTCCCTCCCTCTCCTTCTCGCTCTCTCTCTCTCTCTCTCTCTCTCTCTCTCTATATATATATATATATATATATATATATATATGAAATGGACAAAGTCCGACAATTATTTTAAGATATTTTTTTTATAAAAAATTATAAATTATATTATAAAAAGAAAGTATAAATATATAAAGACATTTTTATGTTTATACATTCTTTTTATAGATACAAATATTTAAGTAAATGCTCTGTTTTATAATAAACAGTATTTATAGCATTTACCGCACTCAATGTCCGAGAAATTTTCATAGAAAATATTTGTCCTCCGACAGGAATCGAACCTGTATCTTATACAGAACCGTCTTTAAGCCTAACGTACACTTAACCGATCGAGCAACGGAGAATCGTTCGACCAGCCAGGTCGAATTTACTGCCTTTAAATAATGTGTGACGCCGAATGTTTGGTTGGACAATGTAATTCCTTTTGTTAATACATGATTGCATTTGTCTGATGTAGATGACGAAATCTATACTCTTAAATTAGACATGTTTGAAGGAATATTTGCAGCCTATGTATATATTTCGTTACATATTTTCGTCATATATATATATATATATATATATATGGAAAACTATTCGGGAATATGATAGGAATTGTGATGAAAATAAGCAGACATAATATTTGTAATTTATCTAATCAGACATGCCTAGAGTAGAATTTGCTGCCAAAATACACAAATTTGAAATTATATAATCCAGCAGCCCATCAGAAAAACATTATCTGACAATTTAAACGTGGCCTTGTGAAAAGGCAGTTCGAAGTCAATCAGTCATTTAACATGCGTGATACACGCTTATGCGATCATGTACCTTTCGATACATGACTGACGAGGCAGATTTTTCCCCGTAGTAGGTTGCCATTTCTTTCTGCGGTAGACCAGTTGCCATCCAAGGCTATAGAACCCGGTCTGTCCTACTGTTTACCTATAGCTGGGGTGAGAAGAAAAGGATTCATACCTTTCCCGCGTAAGTGATTGCAATGGATTCGACTGGAATTCGAACTCGGCTCTCCGATTCCTCAATCCGAGCCGCTATCCATTACTCCTCCAGATCGAAGTAACTAATGATAACTTAATAAATATACGGAAAAATATTTTTAAATTTTGGCTTTTGATGTAATTATGACAACAAAACATTTTACTTACATTGTTTGCCTTGATAAAGTCGGAAGACGAAACGTGTCGTCAAGAATTCAGTTCTTTTTCTAATTTTCATTTTTGTTACGTTAGATAAATATTAAATTTAAAATTGAATAAAAAAAGTAAGTCATTGTTTTGAATTAGATAGAGGTTTGTTTCTTGGGAAAGAACAAAAATGTTTCCGATTAATTCCTATTATCTGAAAATTTTAGGTAGCGTCATAAATAATTTGTTTTTTATTACAATTTTATTGTTCAAAAAATAAATTACAGTTACATTTTATCCAATTCCAAATTCACAATTATTTGCAAGAACTTGTTGCAAATTATTAAGCAGCGCTCTACCATACATTCAATAAAATTTTTCTGGTTTTGACGGGAAAAATGTTTTCAACGAAATCTTGAATCTGGTTTTCATTAACGAAATTGTTTCCCGGTCATTTTATAGCGACAGAAAAGCAGGTAAAAATCGGTTGCTGCGAGGTGATGTGAATATCGACGGGTGAGGGAGAACAGACCAATTCAATATGGACGGTGAGGTCAGACAGTCCAAGTGAATATGGACGGTGGGTGTAGGACAGACCAAATAAATATGGACGTGAGGTAGGAGAAAACAAATTAATATTAACGGTGGGGTAGAACAGAGCAAATAAATATCGTCAGTGGGATAGAACAGACCAATTGAATATGGAGACGCGGTAGAACAGTCTAACTGAATATGGACGGCGGAATAGGATAGAACAATTGAAGATGGACGACGGGGCAGGAGAGACCAACAGAATATGGACGGCAGGGTTGGAGAGTCCAATTGAATATGGACGGCGGGGCAGGAGAGACCAACAGAAAATGGACGGCAGGGTTGGAGAGTCCAATTGAATATGGACGGCGGGGCAGGAGAGACCAACAGAATATGGACGGCGGGGCAGGAGAGACCAACAGAAAATGGACGGTGTGCGTTAAGACAGACCAAATCAATATAGACGGTGAGGTAGGACAGAAGAATTGGATATGAACGGTGGGGGTAGAATAAACCAACTAAATATGGACGGTGGGGGTAGAACAGACCAACTGATTATGGACGTTTATGTAGTATGGGCCAACAGAATATGGATGGTGGGTTTGGACAAATCAACTGAATATAGGTGGTGGGTTAAAAAGACCAACTGTATATAGACAGTAATGTAGGATAGACTACCTAAATATGGATGGTGAGGTAGAAAAGTCCAGCTGAATGTTTTCAGTGCCGTAGGACAGATCAAATAAATATGGACGGCGAGAGAGGACAGAACAACTGAATATGGACAGTGAGGAAGGATGAACCAACTGGATATGGACGGTCGGGTAGAACAGACCAAGTCTATATGGATGGTTGTATAGAACAGACCAACTGAATGAGGACGGCGGGGTACGATAGACCAAATGAATACGGATATGAGGTTGGACAGACCAAGTGAATGAGGACGGCGGGGTACGATAGACCAAATGAATACGGATATGAGGTTGGACAGACCAAGTGAATGAGGACGGCGGGGTACGATAGACCAAATGAATACGGATATGAGGTTGGACAGAGCAAGTGAATGAGGACGGCGGGGTACGATAGACCAAATGAATACGGATATGAGGTTGGACAGACCAAGTGAATGAGGACGGCAGGGTACGATAGACCAAATGAATACGGATATGAGGTTGGACAGACCAAGTGAATGAGGACGGCAGGGTACGATAGACCAAATGAATACGGATATGAGGTTGGACAGACCAAGTAAATACAGACGGCGGAGTAGAACAGATCATCTGCATATGGACGGCGAGGTATAGGATAGAACAACGGAATATGGATGGTGGTGTAGAACAGACCAACTGAAAATGGACGCTGAGTTAAGACAGATCAATTGTATATCAAAATGTTTCCCATGTTATTTTTGTTGCTTGCGGCCTTGCGTTGTCATGGAGAAGAATATTTTTTATCCTACTGACGAGCGCAATGTGCTTTTCGAGTAAACATATTTTGCCAATCAATAGGCAGCTCTTCGATATATTTTGAGAAAAATTCCGTGTTTTGTTGTGAAATGTTTTAGAAGAAACCTTCAATCTTGTTTTCATTAGAGAAAGTTTTCCTTGTATCACTAAACCATTATTATCTTAAAAGAATTCTAACAATCTAAATATAATTATATAAAAGAAAAGAAGAAAATTAGAAGAATACAAGAAAGATTGAATAAAAAGTTTAACGGCAGTACTTTGTCAAGCGTTTTAATTTATATATAATTCTTCTGGGTTTAGGTAATGAATGCATGAATGAATCGATCATGAATTTAGCGAGTGGCATTGAAAAGACCAGCCATGTTTTTTCGTTTTAGAATTGCATGCGGCTTTGCGTTGACATGGAGGAGGAAAAAGTTTTTCTGTTTATGGAAGCAGGACACCAAGTGTTTAGGGACACGTTACAGCTGTTGGTCGTAAAATGTGCATTTAGTATTTCATTGTGTTTTAAGTCTTTTAAATAAATGATAGACTATCTCACCACATGTACAGCGTTACTTTACTTCCATGGAGTTCAAATTTTGCGGTCAGTTGGGAAAATTTTCCTTGTCAATCCACGGCCTTTTGCGATGAACATTGTTGTATGCAACCCACATTTCATCATCTGTCAGTTAATTAGGATACATTTGACATTGCAATTCGTTCCTCAAAACAAAAACAACTTATGACTTTACCTAATATTTACTAAGCTAAGAAATATCTGAAAGTAAACTGATGTGGCAGAAATTAGTGGCAGCTATTGAATTCGCCTGAATACCGGAGGCTAAGAAACGTGGCATGGAGTTTCTAAAGCAGTGGAATCGTTGCGTGGGTATATTCACCTAGACTCCTTTAAGGGTTGTCCCTAATGCGTTATGTTTCTTGGTAGCATCTGCATGGGATTTAATAAAGTTTGCAACATGTCATCTACTTGCTCAATGGAATTTGAATTTGGCGATCGTGAAGGCCAGTGAAGGTTAATCAGATTTTCCTGTCACCCCTGATGAATGTTTATGCCTTGTCTTGAAGAACAAATCATATCCAACGGGAAATATGGCTAACGACGATTTGTGTCTGTCAGAAGAATCTGTAGTCTTTAGGAAATCCAATAGAACATTACATGGCCACCACTATCATACGCAGCTTACAGCTCGCAGGCTGGGTGTATAGCCCGATGCGGTCTCCTCTGCTCATAACCCGACCATCTGTCCTGAAAGAACAGGAAATGTAACTCGACAGAAGTCACTTACGGTCTAATGTCAATGTCTTCCGACACAGATGCTGCACCCGATGAGCAATAATAACATTCTTATCGCTCAACGACTACAAAATCAGATTTTCCCACGAACCGTTGCATTGTGGAACCGACTCCCGAGTGGATGCTTCCCCGATCACTAAAATCTTAACCTGTAAAAGTCTAGGGTTAACCGTTAGCTTCACCATATATCCCCATAAATCAGTAGCCCTCTACCTCGGGTGGCTCTTGGGTATTGTACACAGTGTACGTTACTGTAAAAAAAAGTATCTTGCAGTAGTTACTGTAAAGTGCGTTGACGGATGAGAAAAGCAGCGCCATCTTTAAATTCGAATGTGAGTTGATGTTCCCCTCCATTTTCATTCGTGCAATTGCATCTCCACCTCTGGGTATCTATAGTTTCCACGTACCGCTCATGTCTGGAATTCCTTTTTTAGTATAAAAAAAAAAGAGTGACCCTCCCTGTGGTGAAATGGTGTTAATTCCTGTTCCTATCGCATGGCTGCCACATCTACATTTTCAAAGCTACACATTTTTTTTCCGAGAAGAAACCATTCAATATACTGCTTTCTTTATTTGTTTTTTGGTACTTAAGTTTATTTAGACCCCAGCAGTAATAAAGATGGCAAGAATTTGAAGAGGAGTTTTGATAATTGACGGTATTTGCCATTATTCAAACCCAATGACAGCTACTTGATAGTTTTAGCACAAAAATGCAATTATGTCATAAGAATTATGATAACAGCTATATTTTTATTGTTTATTTTAACAGACTCCCTGTGAGGCATAGGGAAGGTTTTGACTACGCCAGATGCTGCTGCTGTAGTTTTGATTAGCAAGCGAATTTTACAGAGCCGGCGTTCGAAAACTACGTTCAACTTGGGCTGTCTTAAAGGGCTCCAACTGATTAACTATTTACCTTTAGCTGGAAGGAGTCTGAGAGGAATTCATGTTTTTTCAAAGGACATTATTGTGAAGTGAACGCACACTGCCCCAACTGGTAACCACTCTCCATGTCCTTAACCACTACGACTCTAATAAAGAAATGTAGACCAATAGGAAAGTCAGAATCCAACAGTCTGCGAGTATAAGAAATAACACATCGAAATAATCTTGAACATAGAAAAAAAGATCTGTCACATCGTGAGTGTCACCATTTCAAAATAGAACGGAGCAAAATTGAAAAGAAATGAAAAGCTGGACAAATATTGTCACCTTGCCAAAGAAATAAGAAAACGTTGAAGTATGGAAATGATAGTTGTGCCCATTATAAGCGAAGTACTAGGAGCAGTTAGTACTGTAAACTGGAAGAGTTGTAATTATTAAAAAAAAACTGCAGTTTTAAAATAGACATGAATACAGATGTGATTTGCCATCATTTGATCTCGTGTGGGATCTACCAGATATGATTGGTATGAAAACTGAACGGGTTCAAAAGTTCTAAGAATAATTAATTTGTGCAGAAATAATCCACTAACCTTAAAAAAGGCCGAGGGCGTGCGCCTGTGGATGCTATTGTCTTCAAGATAAAAAAAATAAAACCTGGACAGACTAATTCTGTTGTTTATAACAGAAAACGGTTTATGGCATAACCCGGATGTACTGGCTACTTGCTTGATCGAATAACTCGGCTGTGTTGGCTACAGATTAGTGTACCTACCTTCGAACGCATATAAAGCCTGCGAACAAGAGAAAAGGCAGCCGATCAAGTGGAAGAGTAAATTTTCGGTTATTTGAACTGAAGGCTCTGTGAAGTTGTGACCGTTTGCTACAGAATTCAAAAGGTTTGTTTAAAGATTTATAAAGGTAAAAAACCGGAATATAGTGAGAACTGTGGAAATGATTTGGATTCCATATTGTAAACAAATGCTATAAGAATAAACAAAATTTTTATTAGAAATGAAAATTTTAAATTACTCTGTGATTTTTAGATCCAAACCTACTACTCGATCTAAACAAGAATACAAGATATAGTTGTGAACGAGAAGAAAATCTAAGTTCGTAAAAGTAGTGGTTGTTCAAGCAGACCCCATAAGTAAAAAAAAAAACAATAAAGCAAAAATGGCAAATATCAGATCCTCATTGGAGAACTAAAAAAAAACTGTAGAACGTGAGAGTCGTGCTCATAATAAATGGAACACTTGGAACTGTTCCTAAAACACTAGAGACAAGATTGAAAGAAATGGCTTTTCGAGGTAGGTTTGAAATTGTCTAAATTAAGTCAGTAGTGAGACCGACAAGAATACTGAGGAAGGTTCTGAAGATTTGAGAAGCCTTTCCCCTCATTCTGTTCTCAGAGACATTTGTAGTAAATAACCAAAATGCAAAAGAATAATAATAGAAAGAAAACAAGTAAAATAAATAAAAGTGATGCCACAAACATAACAGGTCGGATAATGACAATGATTCAGGGCTTCGTCGCTTTCGTCCGCTCTCAGTTTAGTGAGACAACAAGAAGTGATTTTGAAAAAAGAAAAAAAAAGTCTATTTGGCGTAATGAAGACATGCTGGAATTTGTGGCGGTCCAAATTGACAAGCAGCTTTGTTGGCTGCTAAAAAGATTCCGAAAAGAAGACTCCAACGAGTAAACAGAAAAGCAAAAAGAGAAAAAAAACGCTTTAGAACGGAATTTATGTCAGAGGCTGCAAGAATTTCATGAAGCAATCGTTAGATAAATGAGGCGTTTAAGATGGCGGAAAACCTGAAGAGTATGCAAGCTAGCAAGTGAAAAAAAGGCGGGAACAGAGAAAATGACGGTGGGGAGAGAAGGAGTTGATATTGTGGCAGTAAGGAGTAAGAAGCGTTTTCGAGAGGAAAAGGAGTACGCATGCGCAGATGCAAGGGTGAACGCATAGGAATGTGTGGGTTAAGTATATCTAGGAAAAATTTTAAGAGAAAGATAAAGAGGGAAATGCAACAAAAGTAGTGACAAAAAGAGTGAGATAAAGAAAATAATAACATAGAGAGATAGAGAGATAGAGAAAATAGAGAGAGAGAGAGAGAGAGAGAGAGGAAGAAAGAGGAAGAGACTTAGTCGTGGGAAACAAAAAGTGTAAAGAGTAAGGTAACTATCTATGTGCATGTCTGTGTTAGTGTTAATGTGAGTATGATTCGTTGTGTGTATAAGCGTTTGTCACTCTTACATAAATATATACAAATATGCATTTAGAACATAATGGCTGGCTACTCGTTTCTGCTAGGCTGACTAGCCAATCCCTGTGACAGATGGTTGCTCAGACACATTTGTCTTACGGTTTTAAATGCAACTGTGCTAAAGGAACCTTAGTTCCAGTTTCAAGGAGAAAGTGCAACATCTGGTGTGATCAGCAGTTTGAATAAGACCAGTATGCTCAAATCCTCGGCCACGATGACTTGTAACTTCACGCTAACACAAACATCGACGACTTCCAAACAGTCCCATCTATCTAATTCTACCCATAAGATTTGGATCAACTCCGGGTTTGTTTTCAAGCATTTTCCAATGATGCCGCACGATAGGATCATTTCCCCCACAGACCGATAACAAATTTCTGAGAAATTGGCCATGGTGAGATTCGAACCGGGATCTCATGGTTGGAAAGCGAACGTTTTAACCACTCTGATATATATAACCATATGGTTTTTATATATATATATATATATATATATATATATATATATATATATATATATATATATATATATATATATATATATATATATATATATATATATATATATATATATATATATATATATATATATATATATATATATATATATATATATATATATATATATATATATATATATATTTCATTAAATAATATAACTGTTGTCTATTTATTTTATGTAAATTTTTTTCTAATGTCTGATAAGCTTAATAACATTATCATTAAACGAATAAAGAAAATCACAATATTGATACATATTTTTTAATCCTATCTAAGCTTTCGGCTTACATAAGCTATTATCAAAGATGACGATTACAGATGGCCTGTTTGTTGCTGTTAAGGTTGTTCAATTTCTTCCTTGGCTATTTCAATTTGCCTTTTCACTAGGCTACATTTATAATTCCAAGTATTGATAGTATTGTGGGCAGCTGGAACATGTAATTTAAATTGTGTGTATTTAGGCAGAATTTTTTCATTCATACATGTTTCATTAAATAATATAGACAAGTGTTGTCTATTTATTTTATGTAAATTATTTTCATAACGTCTGATAAGCTTAATAACATTATCATTAAACGAAGAAAGAATATATATATATATATATATATATATATATATATATTACAGGTAATAAATCCGTTGATATATAGTACAAATGGATCCTAGTAATACCAAATATTAAAACTGATTCATAAAAAGAGCTCAATGTATTTATTATAACAGAGCATATAAATTACACAACAAAATCCAGGATTACCTCATCTGGGGGGAGGGGTAGAGATCTATTTTAACCAACACGAAGTACGTCAGTCTTATTCAATCCTGGTGTATGAACTGTATTCGTGTCGGAATTAGAGATTTAAAATTTAACTTTGACAACAGTCAAAAATTGATACAGAACCTATTCATTTCGATGCCTCAGCCAGCCGAAATGTCCGATTTGGTAGTAAGGGGAGGGCGGAAGTATTAGTCTTAACGGGAAGAGGATCCACAAAATCAACCCAGATATTAACCTCTGACCCTAAATTAGGATTAGAATGAGGTGTTAATTTGACACTAAGAAAGGACCGAAAAGGGAGTTAAAAAAATTTAAAGATAAATTAAATATCCATGGATATTTAATTTATCTTTCTTAATATAATTTTTAAAATATATTCTTACTTAATATAATTAGTCTAAATTTGATTTATTGTTAATCTTGTTAACATATATCTTTTATAAGGATAATTTGGTATTTTTTAAATGGGAACTTAATTTTTTATATATATATTTAAAATTTTGTTTTGTAGTTTTTTTTTAGGTTCAGCATCTATTAGCTTCCAGGTTCACCAGATGTCAATTCCGTCTCACCAGATGTTATTTCCTAGGCACATCAGATGTCATTTTCCAGACTCACCGAATGTTAGTTCCCAGTCTTACCAAGGCTGACCAGATATTAACTCCCAGTTTCATCAGATGTCAGTTCTGTCTCACCAGATGTCATTTCCCAGGTTCACCAGATGTTAGTTCCCACTCTCACCAGATATAATTTCACAGGCTCACTAGATTTTCGTTCCAGGTTTACCAGATGTCAATTTACAATTTCACCAGAATACAGTTGGTGTCAGTCTGTGTATTTTCATGACGTCATTGTACGGTGACGTCACCTACAGTTACTGACCCAGCCAAGAGGCCATTAAAAATCTGATATCTGGTCATTTAGTTGAACATTTCGAAATAGATCGGGCTGTGGCCATTTTCGCAACCACTTGTATACATAACTAATTCGTAAAAAGAAAAAAATAGAGAGAGAGAGGGCAAAACAAAGAAGCCAGAAAGAAAACATTTCCGCACTAACGCCTTTGGAAAAGGCATGAATAAATCTTCCGTCCCCCTTAGCTATGAATTAACTAGTAGGATAGACCGGGATCTCTAACCGTAGGCAGCAACCAAAGAGAAGGAGAACTCTGCATTCCAAGATAAGAATACGTGGTCATTTAGCGATAATAAAGAAACATTTTCAAAGAGTTGTGTTTCCATACGTCCTGAAATAACATACACAAAGCTGCTACAAATAGAAAAAAAGAAAAGAAAAGGACGGCAAGTAAGAAAGAAAGATAAGAGTTATAAAATATTAATTTAAAGAAAGAATAAGAGAAATAAAGAAAAGAGGAAAAAGAAAGAAAACAAGAAATAAAAACGGAAAAAGAAGATGAAACCAGAAAAAAAGAAAGAAGAAATGACACTCGAATTATGCAATACAAATGACAAAGTAGTGCGAATCATACAAAAAATCTTTCGTTGTATCTTTTTATGGCTTCCGTTCTTTTTGCTTATTTTTTCCGTCATTAATTATTCATTACGTTATTTTTGTTGTTCATAACTCATTTACCAAATCATTTTCTTTCTGAAGATTCCGAGTTTTCGTATTTTGTTATTCTTTAGAAAGAAAATATCTTTATGAAATTCTGCAGATGAATATTCCCATTTATATCAACATTTTTCTCTCTCTCAGCATTTATATATGAAGATGCCATTGAGATCCTTTACCCTCCTCTTATATCCTCATTAAGAAAACGAGATTCATAAGCCCCAGTATCGGAGAAAGAATTAGATCATCCATCCAGCGGGAAAAAGTAACGCCTACTACGGCGGATAATTTAGAGGCTAACAGAATCCATTGGCCCCGAATAACTATTAAAGAAACGGTGAAACTTACGAATGTCTGAGAGTAGACGCTGAAGAGTATTATTGTGTTACTATGATGTATGACTTTCGAAAAGAGGAAAACGTCCTGGGTAAGACGATAAACTACATCCAACAGCAAGGCCTCTTATCAGGAGGTTTTGAGGAGCGTAGAAGCACCTCTTAATTGTTGGTTTTCCCAGGTCCACTCTGACCCGGGGTGGTAGCATCTGTTAGGGCCCCAACTAAGGGCAAGTAGTTAACTTTACACTGGGGTAAAAACACTATGAAAGTGTAAAATTGGTTTTAATAACAGCGATATATTTTTAAAGAAAAAATATTACCAGCAATATATTTTTTAAGAAAAATTATTACCAGCAATATATTTTTTAAGAAAAAATATTACCAGCAATACATTTCTTTAAGAAAAAATATTACCAACAATAAAAAACTTGTCGACATTAGATAACATATTGAGGTAGTTATGCCGCAAAACAAAACAAACTAAAAGAGGAAAGCTTTATAAGTTAAACTTTCGCAGTTCATAACTGAAGGAGAGATTTTCGAAATATTGTATTTAAAAATGTTTTTCTACTGTTTAAAAGTGGATGGGATTGTAGTGTAAAGGGATATCTCCGATGGAGTTGTATTCGGCGAAATGTAATGAAATTTCGGGTTGCTAGGTTGTATCCATTCTCGCACTAACGCCATTGGAAAAGGCATGAATAAATCTTCCTTTCCCTTCAGCTATGAATTAATTAGCAGGATAGACTGGGATCTCTAGCCTGAGATAGAAAGCAAAGAGAAGGAAAACTCCTAATTCCAAGATAAGAATACATGGTCATTTAGCGATGATAAAGAAAAATCTTCAAAGAGTCGTGTTCCCATACGTCCTGAAGTAACATAACATACACAAAGCTGTTACAAATATTGCCAACATAATAACATTCAATATATATACCGGGTGTAACAGCAAAATAGTCTAAATCGTGTAACAGAAAAATTGTCCAATTAGTTAGGTTAAGATCTGAACTGCTGTATTTTAGAAATTATGAAAAATATTTTACTGGTGTTTGTCTAAGACTATTGGACTCTACTTTGACCAATAAGAATGTATTTAGTTCTCAGTTGAAATGATGATCGCCCTTGCTATTTTTACATCCTGATCCAGTTTTCCTCTTTATTGTCCCTTATTTTTAAAACTTATTCACCGTTCTCTTGATGGTTCCTGAATGGACTTTGATGCCAGAGTATAAATGCTAGTACCATTGCTGTAGGCCTGAATGATCTTTTTACCCTCATCATTGCTCAGATGGAAAAACGTAGTGGGACTTATACAAAACGATTTTAACCTGTTCTCTTTCTAGCTGAATAACTCAAAGGGTTTTTCAGTGATTCTTAAGACAAATGGTGTGAGGATGACTAAACACTTTATCTGAAAACCTGAAAGAAAGACACTCAATTAGTTTAGTGTTTGTTTTTAAATATTAAGCATTTTGTGCGATGGGCAATTATCTCATGCTTTTACACGATTTGGACAATTTTGTTGTTATACCCGGACAGTCAATTATGTGCCATGCGTGATACACGCTTAGGCGATCATGTATCTTTCGATATATGACTGACGAGGCAGATTTTTTCCGCACTAGGTTGCCATTTCTTTCTGCGGTAGACTAGTTGGCATCTAAGGCTAGAGAATCCGGTCTGCCATCCTATTTACCCATAGCTGGGGAGACGGCTATTAGCACGTAAGTGAATGTAAAGGATTTGAATTCGGCTCTCCGATTCCTCAATATTCCTCCGATATTTAAATTTCAATTTTGAACCAGTGGTGGCCTTTCCAAACACCAGCAGTTCAAATCTAAGACATTTCTCCGAATTAGCATCATTCGTGATCTACTGTTTGCTGATGATGCTTCACTTGTGGTAACATCTCTAAATGTGACCCAAGAACTTGTCAACCACTTCTCTTTTACATGGAAATCTTTTGGCCTTACCATTAGCATAAAGAAAACAGACGTACTGCACAAACCACTCCCTTCTACAAAGCAGATTTAGAATATTAGACAGCCTCCGACAGTTCATCAATTCCCAGACACTCCTATACATGTTGATGGGAATAACTTGAAGTATGTGAAGTCATTTACATATTTAGGAAGTAAGATGAATACAGATGTATCCTTTGATGATGAAATAACAAATCGGATGTCCAAAGCTACAAGTGAATTTGGGAAGTTTTGCCTTTGCTACCGCCTATGGAAGGAAAGAAGTATCAAATTGAATACCAAAATACGGGTTTATAGAGCAGTCGTTTTGAGCACACGGCTCAGAATCACAGACCCCATATAGATACCATAACAATCTGATGGATGTCTTCCACAAAAGTTGTCTTTGTGCGATTTCTGGCTATACTTTTGATGATAGCGTGTCCATTACCTAAGGTCCTCGTGTATAGTCAGCTGGACAGTGGACAAAGTAATGTTGGATGGCCGTGGCTTATGTATAAAGACAAACTAAAGAGTAACTTCTCAACTGTCAATGTGCCCTCATACTAACTTCGAGTGAGTTGCCCTGGATAGAAATAACTGGAGATATTTGTACCATAGTGGTATCTGAAATTTTGAAATCAGTCGTATTGAGACGAAAGACAACGGCGAAAAGCATCAGCATATTTTCCTGTTGTCCTGTCCCGAGACTTTCGCTGTTGCAGAATATGTGGACTTCTATGCAGGTCACTAATATTACCTAATAAAAATATACATATGACATAAATATAACAATTGAATGAGGTTGGCGGAACCTCATTAGTTGAGATCGAGTCAATCACACACACACACACACACACACACACATATATATATATATATATATATATATATATATATATATATATATATATATATAATATTATGGACACTGTCCGACAATTATTTTAAAACATTTTTTGTTCAAACATTCTTTTTATAGATACAAATATTTAAGTAAATGTTCTGTTTATAATAAAAACATTAAACAACATTTACCGGCTTGAATGTCCGAGAAATTTTCATAGAAAATATTCGTCCTCCGGCAGGAATCGAAACTGTATCCTATACGGAACCGTCATATAGCCTGACGTGCCTTAACCGATTGAGCCAAAGAGGAACGTTCGATTAGCAAGGTCGATTTTACTGCTTTTAAACTACCATCTTCCATGATTCTCTCACGTACATTCATATCTGCTCAATGCGTATCCAAATATAAACAAATGACGTCACATATTATGAAATGGACAAAGTCCGACAATTATTTTAAGACATTTTTATGTTTATATATTATTTTTATTTATTATCATTGCAACACCGAAATTCCCATTTCCGCGACCGAACCAAGCCAGTTGGTCGTCACAGGACGAGACAACACGACTGACGCGACAGGCGGACGTCACGTTTGGAGCAGCGACACCCGGACGGAGCAGCGAGGAGCGAACAGCTGGCGCCGCGGCGAGGACGTCACAATTGGTGCTGTTTGGGGACGTCACAACTGGCGCCGTGGTAGATCAGGATAGAACGTCACAGTCGGCGCTGCGACCGGGGGGGCGACGTCACAAGCAATACGTTTTTGAAAAAAAATTTACCAGCAATAAATGTTTTAAAATAATATTACCAGCTATACATTTTTGAGGAAAAAAATATTACCCGAAATAGATTTTTGTCTAAACAAAATATTACCAGAAAAAAAAAGTTGTCGGCATTAAATAACCCAATGAGGTTGATATACCGTAAAACACAACAAGGAAACAAACAGACACATTAATCTGGGGTAAGAGACCAAGAAGGCAAGAAACGACATTTTGATATTAACTGATAAGAAAAATGGCGACAATACTTCGCATGTAAATAAAGTAAATAATGATAACTCTTCATCCCCAAAATTAACATAGAAATTTTGAGAATTTCGATCCACACGTAAATAATACCATTTTTGACGGTTTCTCTCCTCATTATTAATATTATTATTATTATTCTTATTAGTAGTACTGTGTTTTGTTTTTGTTTTGTATAGTACTCTAAGCCGCTGAAGGAGACGAGTTTTTTGTATCACTAAGTTACCAAAACAGATCAGGTGCCAAAAGAACCACGTAATGGTTACTGTATGAACGTAAGCATTTCAAATAACATCGACAATTTCGTAATTGTTAAAAGAACAAACTCAAGAAACCGAAACCGAAAAACAGAACCAGACTTTAGCTTCTGATAATTCTTGCATGTCCCCCCCCAGGAGAGGGCACCTTTAACAAATTTAGAAGTGGAAACCTCATTAGTAAGCCAAATCTAACCATTCTACCATTGAATTTTTGGGCTAACGGCCAAATCATGTTGAAACACCGGTTTTCGTACGATCACCGAAGTTAAGCAGTATTGAACTTGGTCAGCACATATATGGGTGACCACTTAGGAATACCAAGTGCTGTAATCTTGGATGTACAGCTGTGTAATGGATAACAGTAGAGAATTGGACACCGGAAAGCAGTTTTCCAATTCCTGTCAGGTTCGTTATATTCATTTAGGCGGAAATAACCACTGGAAAGGTATGAAACCGCATATTCTCCCCATCTATGGGTTAATTAGTAAGACTTGTATCAGCAGATCATTATTGTCTGAAAACAAGTCTAAATCTGGAATTAAAATAATCTGCAAAATGATGATAAGTTGTAAAAATAAATCAATTATTAAAATAAAATAAAATAAATAAATAAAATAAAGACTGCAATAGGAATCGTAACGGAATAAAACCTGGATAAAACCAGAAAAGAAATTATAAAATTATTCAATAAAATGGCATACGAAAATAGATCAGGTAGATTTCTTAAATGCAACTTTAAACCTTTAAAATGTATATAGCCAAAAAACAAAACAAAAAACAAACTCAAACAACCTGTATAAAATATCAGCAGAAATATTCTAAACCGTAGGTATAGTTACACTGAAAATGTGTTACAAATTATAAAAACCATGTGTACACCGGTATCTTCAGAACAAAGATCGAATACCCACTAAATGATAAATAGCTAGAAACTAACGTAATATACTAGGCTACTTCAAGATCTAAAGAAAGCAGAAAATATACAAAAAGGTCTCGGGAATCAGTTGTTAATCATACAAAACATTATTAACAACAAACGTGTGCAAATAACACAAGATGCTAACATGGAAAATAAGAAAAACAGCACTAGCTTAGAAAAACACTTTCAAACAATGTAACCTTTGCCTAGATGAAAAAAAATAACAGCTTCTGGTGTTATGGGCATCTATTCCCATTTCAACTAACAGAAAATATCTACGTGTGACAGCACTTTATTTTGAAATATTTTACGAGCCTTTTGTTCCGCATTGAATATGAAATAATTAGTGTTTTGGAGCTTAAAAATATTTTCAGTATATTTAATCTTTCTTGTCAGATTGATATTCAATAATAAAAGTATTAACCCATAAACAAAAAAAATAGTATATATATATATATATATATATATATATATATATATATATATATATATATATATATACTATTCTTATATATATATATATATATAAAAGAGAAGCCGTAAAATCTTTGATAATGTGTATTTATTTATTTTTAATTATATATTATATTTTGTTTCTACATTTATTAATGTAAATAGTAATAAAAAAAATATGGAAATTAAAGCATAATATATATTTAAATATATGTCTGTTTTTTTTTACAGATGACTGACAAGGTAATGCGATTAAGCTTATTATTTAATTTTTCTTCTGTTCGCACAAGTGTTTTCTTTTCTGGATACAAAGTGTGTAAAAACTGTCCAAAGTTTCTGCACATCTAAGCACATTTGGCTATACATTTAGCCATTATCAGGGATGATTTTATTTTACTTTTAACTGAATGTATGGGTTTTGTCATGTATCAATCTATATGGTGATGTTATATTTTCAAACACGGTGAATACATTGTGACCGTGTTCATAGTTATTGTTATTGAGTGTTGGTGTTTTCTTTTTATTATTAGGGCGTTCACTATTTTTAATCTTTTTTTTACATTTGGATGAGGTTATTATGCCTGTATTTTCTTCTATGTTTCGGATGGAATCTAGTAGGTTTTTGTGTGTGTTTAAATGAGTTCTAACCGAGCTGATTAGGTGTAATGCAAGTCATTAAGGCCAAAATTTTTTCAAATGTATTTTTGAGATTACCTATTTCTTGTTTGTTTTTCGGTAAAATAAAAATATTGTCGAGGTAGCGGACATATATTATGGGTTTAGTGACTGGTTTAAATATGTTTTCTATGTGGGACATGTAATAATTCAAGAAGTATGGTGTGAGCAGATTTCCCATACTAACACCATTAGTTTGGATGTAGATGTTGCCATTACAGTCATAGAAGGAGACTTTAGTTGTGCATGCATATAATAATTTTTTGAGGATATTTGGTTTAATAGATGGAGGTGGAATGGAATAATTTACGTACACGGAGCTAAGGATTGTGCAATGGTTTGATTAACGGGGAAATTTGTGAATAAATTTTTAACGTCGAGTGACGCTAAAATACCTTGCGTTGGTTTTTATACTATTTTCAATTTGAAGGAATTCGTGGGTTGATGTGATGCTGTAAGCGGTGAATTGGTCAAATATGGCTGAGAATCTGACAGAATGATAGGATACAGAACAAGTAGGAAACTTAATAAATTTATCATATTTCGTTTTTATTTAAGTTTCATTAGACATTTTTGGAAATTAATTATGAAAGAGAAAGTTCAGGCACTCTTACTTCTCGTTTTTGTTTTAATTGGTCAGGTTGATCTCACGTGACTCTGTATTGCGTGTTAACACACAAACATGCAAAACACAAGATGAAAAAGACACGTGACATTAAATAATTGTCGAAATTAAGGCCTTTCTATAATATGTTATCATTGTTTACGTTAAGATACGTTTCGTGGGCAGAAATGATCAATCGAGAGATTGAGTGTGTCTACACACACACACACACACACACATATATATGTATGTATGTATATATATATATATATATATATATATATATATATATATGAGTGAACATTACTGGATTTTACAGCAGTACAATGCTGAAATACACAACGCTCACCAGATTGAAACCCAATCGATAATGTTTTGGGATGGATGCCAAAGGATCGCAATTTGAAACTGTGGCTGCTCTTGTTGCTGCAGTTTATGCATCCTGGGCGAGCATCCCAAGCACCCTCATGCAGAAGTTAATAATGAGTATGCCAAAGCAAATTTTCGAAGTAATTCACAAAAATGGAGGATATGTTGAGAATTAAATTGTCATTGTGACTTATTTGTTCTGTATTTGCTTTTTTTATTTACATGGTCTTATCTTTATGACCAAACAAAAAAGCCCTTTTTTCAAAGTTTACTTAAATTAATCAATTAAAAGCTTAAAATGTTCACTTGCTTGTTGATAAACTACATTTTCTAATTAAATGTTAATGAATGTTTCGCAAATATATTTTGATTAAAGTAACTGTATCTTATATATCTTTTAACTCTTTTGTATCTGGTCTTAAGATTTTGACCAGAGGTGTATATACATCTGTGTCTATACCTCCGAGATGAGATATGATTACTTGCATTATGTGTACAAAATAAAGGGTTCGTATCGAAATACTAATCACATGAAGAAATCTAAAGCGTACAACGACCGAATCGTTGTGAATATAGCAATGAAAATGAGGATAAGAGTTCAAATAATGTAAATAATATATATATATACATATGTATATATGAGAAATAAACATCTCTCTCTCTCTCTCATGTATATATATGTGTGTGTATGTGTGTTTCTATGTGTGTGTATGTGTGTGTGAACTATATATATATATGTGAACGTTATATACATATATATAAGTTTATTTATAAGTATATATATGTGTGTGTGTTTGAACTTTATATTTATATGTGTACGATATATATATGTGTGTGTGTGTGTGTGTGTATTATATATATATATATATATATATATTATAAATTAATTGATTTAAAATATGTTTTTTTCGCTACACAGTTCTAGCCATGTTTCAAAAATATACCTATATATATGTTTTTCTATTTGATAAAACAAGCTGATATTCAAAAAAGCGAGACTGAACGAGAATTCAACATGCAAGCTACTATGGCTAAAATATATATGAAGAAAATAGTCATCACAATCTACATACCTTCCGCTTGACGCGTATCTGGTTCCTATTTTCGTTTTCTAATCGTTCGCCTGGGATCTGTGCCGACCACAATTTCCAGATAATCATAATATAAGCCAGAGACATGACCACAATGGGAATGAAGAAGAGGACAACAGACACAAATGTGTAATAGATGCGTCGAGCCTTCATGGCATTTTGTGGTTGTGTCAGTAAGACCCAGTCGTCAACACAGTAGCGTTCCGTGTGATTGGCCCATTTTGTAATGAAAAGTCGTCGGACATAGAGCAAAGGGGCAGCCACAATAATGGCAACAATCCAGAGGAGCATAATAGCGTACCAGGCCCGCCTTTCGGTGATGTGCGCCTTCAGGGCAAAGACGATGCCAAAAAAACGGTCGCACGCAATCACCGTCAGCGTCAAGATGCTGGATACTGTTGAGGTAACTGAAAAAGAAAAGAAAAATAAATATATATACATATATAGATATATATATATAGGTAAGATGTCAGTATTGTTTGTAAAAGCTAATATACTTTCCTAACTTTATTATTTGATGCGACAACGAATATAATTAGAAAATTAAAATAAATGTTAGAAATGTTTCAAGAGGAAAGGCATTATGAAAAACAAATTTATGGAAGAATTCAGTTTGCATACAAAATGTCAGTCATGATTTTCTTTAATCTACGGATTCAGACTATTGTCTCCGTTCTAAAATACTTTTTACACTTCTCATATGAGGTCTTTTCATTATTCCACATATTATTCGGACTATTGTCTTCATCTTTGTTGTTTATTAACACAATGTTTCTCTAAATATTTTCTCATCTTCTCAGATGAAGTCTTTTCATTATTCCACATATTATTCGGACTATTGTCTTCATCTTTGTTGTTTATTAACACAATGTTTCTCTAAATATTTTCTCATCTTCTCAGATGAAGTCTTTTCATTATTCCACATATTATTCGGACTAAACAACGTTATATTTTTTGTTCTCAAAGTGATTTACTGCTACGACTGTAGTATTAGCAAACATAGTCGTTTTTTTCCCCATCAAACCATTTGTAATGGCTTCATCAATGGCTCTCTAGAATTGCCACGGATGAACGGAAAAGTCAACGCCATAAAAATAGGGAATCAAGTCAACTTCGATACAATGACGTCGACGATGATGATGATAATGATGATGATGATTAACTGAAACCTCGTATAAATATGTCCACTGTAAAGATTAATTAAAATGGATTCTTTGTATTTGAATTGTTCTCATTTTCTCTCTCGTATTTCGATAAAGGTTGAGTTTGGTAACGATTTATTTCTCTAATAACAATTGTGAATTGATGAACGAGGAATTCATGATTGTCTTTTCATTCCATACGTTTCTTCTTTAATTCCCCTCCAATGTATACTCGATCCCGTCATCGTTTGCGCGCACGTGTGGCTGGAGGCATCTGTGAAGACGGATATTTCTCTGTTTAATTAATTTTGATACGTTTCAACAGAAAAATGAATTTTATTTCAAAATCTAAATTAAAGAGATAAATCAGGATTCACGTTAAACATAGGAACGTTTTAAAATTTTTATTTCACATTAATATTTTATTTATTCAAAGGTTTACATACCCTACATTATTTTGGCTTTAAGAAACTACTGTAAGGACACACTATAGACGGAAAGGTCCCGGTCGGACTATATTATATAAGGAATTCATAGATTTTTGCGCTTCCTAGGCTGAGAAAATTATGTTAATATTTTATGCATATATTTTTCTGTCCTGATGGTGTGTCGCCTTGACGTGCTTGGACGGCTTGCGTGCTTCAACGTCCCCCAGAGCTATGTAGGCGGGGTCTTCGGCTCTTTACAGGTCCAACCAAGCTCAACAGATCTGTCAGGTGGGAGCCAGACAAAAGACACACCTTGGTCCTCCAGGATGGGGTTGTGCAGTAAGCTAACATCCTACTGACTTAAAGAAACTTCAACGATATCTTCAAACAACATCATGGCCGAGGAAGTGTCATCCAACGTGGAACGAGTGACGCGTGCTGGTGAGAATCCACCGGGAAGGCAGCCGGTACGACATGGGCCGAGCTGAAGAGGATTGCCTGGCATCGCGTCTCTTGGGGCCCTATATTCCCAAGGGAATTAAGAGGCATAATGAATGTATTCGAGGATAGTCGTCTTCTAGGGCGGCTAGACAATCCCTATTGCAGACGCTTGCTCAGGCGCACTTGTGTTTATTCAACACCCACAGAGCTCACCTATGTTTTCTGAGTGCTGTTATCCTCTTGTACCCTTCTATCCGGGTTTGTCGGAGATATTGCCATGTACCCAGGGTAGTTGTTACTTCTTATAATGACCATTTCTTGATAATGTATCGCTGGGTCTTCACTTATGATTTTTGCTCTATGTTGTAATCAGCAGACGAAGCCTTTCTTTAGACTGTATGGGTGGTGGGAGTTGAAGTTGAGGTTTCGAAATCCCAATCACCTGAAGACGGCTGGAGCGTACAATGGCCGAAACGTCGTGAATATGGCAATAAATAAAAGGTTATTCCTGAATAAAGGATATCAAAATATGATTTATCTTCCCATTGTTAGCGATGCACATAATGTGCTGTGACCTGGAGTTCGAAAAGTTGTTAACACGTTGATTGCCAGGGGTCAATTAAAAATCGACTTTAAATACTAACTTTATAATAAACCAACTTAAGCCATAAAATTTCTTTATTAGCTGATTTATGACTTCAAACAAAGTACGGAGAGAAACATGATACTTTTGTCACGTTTGTGAAGACAATCCACTTCTCTAGATTGACTCTACCATCGTCACCATAATGCTTCTCTGTGGCTTTTCTATAAATACTTCAATGGTTATTGTTCTGATGAACTTTCTACTGTGCTATCTGGACTTTATGGATTTAAGCGCAGTGCTACATTAGCGCCAAGGTCTCATCAGTTTACAGTTGAAAGGGTAGATGTAGTCGTAAGCAGCTATGCAAGCAGCTTCTTTTCTCGAACTTCTCGTTCGTGGAACTTACTCCCGACTTTTTGCTTCCTCCCATGTTTATTAATCTAAGATATCTGTTCATACAAATTCATATTATACTGATACCAAATGTTGATAACCGTCGAAATATAAACAAAAGCATTAGTGGTTCCTTATTTTTCTTCGGATATTGTTAAGCTACAAGAATTCTTTATATATATACGATTTACTACCAACCAAAGTGGTTAGCGATCGATCAAAATGGAGAGGAACTTCAATCCATTCCTTTTCAATCTGATTGCGAATATCGGAGGTTTCTTCGTCGGCTTTATTCTTCTGGTTACTCAGTTCGTATTCCGAATTAGCAATCACGTCTTGCAAACATGTACCTCACTCCTAAAATACTGTCTGTTACTTCTGATAAAAGCAACGCGAACATGAAAGGATTTTAGGAAGTTTCTGCCGTTTACTGCGGGCAGAGATCAGGCGACCGTTGCCCAAAATACAGCGAATCTTATCTGTAAATAGGATCGACAAAAGGGAATGGCATAGTGTTTGTTGTTCCCGACTAAGTCACAGCCTCGCCTAAAATAAATATAAAATAATAAAAGAACTGAATTTATTGAGACTCGATATTTTCTCCATTCTATCGATTATTTGAATTATTATTAGAATCGTTTTTTTATATTCTAAAACTTCTGATCGACATGTTTTCCAACAATCGAATATGTTTTAAAGCATCTATACATTTATTTAATCTTTGTTGTTTTTATTATTTTGAGGTTAGCGTATGTAATGTGTAAATATTATTGCATAGACACTTTTTTTTTCTAAATAAGGTTGGTATTAAAAAGGTTTATACTTTTATACTTACATTCACATGGTTAATTCAAGTTCAGCTGACACGATTTGATTTTCTGTCTATATTTTTGAGATGAGGTATTATGTACATTATTTACATTATTCGGACTATTGTCCTCATCTTTGTCGCCATATTTATTACAACGTTTCTGCCTTTCAGTATCTGTCTATATTTCTGAGATGAGGTATTATGTACACTATTTACATTATTCAGACTATTGTCCTCATCTTTGTTGCCATATTTATTACAACGTTTCGGCCTTTCATTATCTGTCTATATTTCTGAGATGAGGTATTATGTATACTATTTACATTATTCGGACTATTGTCCTCGTCTTTGTCGCCATATTTATTACAACGTTTCGGCCGCTGTACGCTCCGGCCTTCTACAGGTGGTTAGAATGTCGAAATGAACCCTTTATTTCGCTCATTGGGGTAGACTGTTCTAGTTCCACGTGCCATGTTTAATGGATGTCACTTATCAGTTATCTCCTGTTAATGTTGCAATGAGTATGGCGACAAAGATGAGGACAATTGTCCGAATGATGCGAGTAATGTCCGATTTGATTTATACTATCTGACTTTAAAAAATTTACAATAAAGCTAGTGTGTTATTTTGTTGATCAAATTGAAAGTTCTTCATCGTAATTTATATAAATATATACAACTAGAAATACTCTCGAACATTTCCCGGTCTTCATATTTTAATTTTCTGATGAATCTTAATTCTTAAGTTCATGGTTGGATAAGCTGTTTGCGAATCCCACGACAATAAACACTCTTAGAAATCCCCCTATTGCATCGTTAAATATTTGAGCGTAAAAATCTTAACAAAATATTGCAATAAAATGATAAATATCAATGCAGGACATTATTTTAAGAAGTAAGAGGTACAAATGAAAAGATTTTAAAAAGTCAAGTTTTTCCATTTCACCGATCAGACTTTAATCACATAAGAGTGTTATCGTCTCTCTCTCTCTCTCTCTTTCTTTCTTTCTTTCTTTCTTTCTTTCTTTCCTCGCAATAAAAACGGAATAATTCATTATTTATGAGGTATTGGCTGGATGTAATTTACGCTAAGGAACAAACAGAATTGTAATATAATAGCATAGTTACTATATATATATATATATATATATATATATATATATATATATATATATATATATATATATATATATATATATATATATATATAGTCTTAAAATATGCTATATTTACGGGAAAAGGTGCTCAATATCATAGATAGAGCGTGTGTTAATATAAAAGTTAACATAGAAGTCAAATACTTAGAGCCGACAGTTTGTTTCATGCTAGACGCAATCGTGGCCTGACGTAGGTTACTATTTAACCCTGAGAATAGCAGCAACTAGTCATAGCCTCGATTTCACAAGTGGTCAGAAGACTTCTGAGGAGGAGGTTAAGTCATCGTGTCTTTATAGTTTCCCAAAGTTTCCTGATATTTGTAGGTGCAGTGGT